GAGAGAGAAACAGAGAGAAACACACAGAGAGAGAGAGAGAGAGAGAGAGAGAGAGAGAGAGAGAGAGAGAGAGAGAGAGAGAGAGAGAGAGAGAGAGAGAGAGAGAGAGAGAATAAAACTGTGAAAGACCATAGCCTCTTTCAGCTTAAAAGAACAATGTTCGCTCTTCCGCACATTTTACTAATTCTCAGCACGCTCGCAGCACCTCCACTCTTCCCCTTCCCTCACACTTCCCCACCCCTCAAACAGACCAGTACCAGTCCTTTCTTCATTTATCTCCAATTTCCTCAATCCACCCACTTTCTCTTCTCCTGGGGCATTCGCTCTTAATTCCTAAAATCTCCTACTCCTTTTTCCACCCAATCATCACTACCCCCCTCCTCTCCGCTTGCCCTATGCTGCATCGCACCCCTCCCTTTTTTGTTCTAAGACCACTTTCCCGTCCATATTTTCATTATAATAATATTTTTTTGTGGCACCGCTAACACTTGTCATCCAACTAGTAAATTGGCTTCTTTTGACGCGCGCGCGCGCGCGCGCGCGCGCGCGTGTGTGTGTGTGTGTGTGTGTGCGTGCGTGCGTGCGCGCGCGCTTTGTTTTTGCCACTAATATTCCGTTCCTGTCTCTTCAATTTCTTTTTTTATTTCTCTGTTTACCTTCCTCATCGTTTCCTGAGATTCATCCTCGTAACCAAGAGCCATGAAGAAAGGCCACGACGACTGACTGTCTCATGGTGAGGGATCAAGCAACTAAAATAAATGATTGGATCGGTGTTGTAATCCGTACATTTTTGTTTGTATCTCGAGCTCAAGTAAATATCTAAGGTTGTTTTTTTTGCGATGTTGGTAAAGAGAATAAAGCAAAGGAAATAACAAGCAAAACAACTTGTAATGATCGCAAATGCCACAACTCGTTGCAGATAGCAGCACCTTTCCATTTCCTAAAGTCGGTGTGTTTATCTGCCTAAACATTTAATTTATCATGGATAGTTGGTGTAACCTTATAATGACTTCTTTTGTGACCTGCAACCACTTTTGTTTTTGAAAAAAATGTTCCACAAACAGAGCAGATGTTTAAAATTTAAAATCTATTTACTCTCGATTTTTAAAGTTTTACAATTTTTAATAGTAATATTGACCAGAGTCAGGCCGAGCAATGAGCTGTTGAGAAAAAATTATGACCTTATGCAGTTGCGAGCGCCGTAAAACCCCATACTAAACTAAGACAGAACAGAGCAATTGTAGTCTGTTAGGACAATGTTAAGGCCAGGACATGATTGTGTAGCTTTTATTGCTCGTTTGGCTAGAAAATCAAGACACTGAGAATCTAGATATCTAAAACCAGGTATAAGTTAATGTTGGCTCACCATTGGCCATTTGGTAGGAATACTTTGCTTTAATTTTTTTGGCCAGGTCAACTTGGAAAAGCCCTCTAGCTTGATCTAAGTCTAAGGCTAGATTTGGCATATTATATTATATTATATTATATTATATTATATTATATTATATTATATTATATTATATTATATTTTATATATATAAACGGTCGAAGACTAGATTTTTTGTCCAACTATGTAAAATGGATGGTAGAATTTTCATTTTATAATTTGCTACACAATGCGGGGCATATCCCTTGGGCAAATTAACGGGTTATTGTCCCTCTTAAGATTAATATTGCACGAACATGGAGTTCAACCTGCAGTTAATAATCCGGAAATTTAGTCTCGGGTAACCTAAGGCCCGCTTCTTCCTCTCAATGAATAATTCTAAGCACATTTTCACAAATGGCCTGCTGTTGCAGGGGCCATGGAGAAGAAATCAATGGACACTGGGGTGTACATGGGGGCACGTATACCCATAGGTAATTATGTCTGGGAAGAGTCAGTAAAGTATTAGTTTGTTGATGTTTTGAGGATCATGATTGTGTTAAAGAGAGAGCGAGAGAGGGGGGGGGGGAGAGAGAGGGAGAGGGAGAGGGAGAGAGAGACAGAAAGAGAGATAGATAGATAGATAGATAGATAGAGAGAGAGAGAGAGTGAGAGAGAGAGAGAGAGAGAGAGAGAGAGAGAGAGAGAGAGAGAGAGAGAGAGAGAGAGAGAGAGAGAGAGAGAGAGAGAGACTAAGGGTGGGGGTGGGGGAATGGTGAATGGTGCAAAATGGACGAAAATATATATAGAAAGGCTGGAAAGCGAGACAGGTATAAAGCAATCATATTATACCATTGCTCCCCGTCTGTTTGTCTGTCTGTCTGTCTGTCTGCCTGTCCCCTCTCTCTGTTTCCTTCTCTCTCTCTCTCTCTCTCTCTCTCTCTCTCTCTCTCTCTCTCTCTCTCACTCTCTCTCTTTCTCACTCGCTCTCTCTCTCTCTTTTTCTTCCTTTCCTTCTTCCTGACCTACCTTCGAAAAAAAAAGTAAAATATGCCCGCGCATACCATTGTTCTGTGCCTGCCTTCTTTAGATTACATAAAAGTATGAGTAGACATGAAAGCAAGACCAGCGAATGTAGAGGGAATAAAAAGAGGGAGCGGGCAGTGAGAGAGAAACATAAAAAGGAGGAGAGAGAGTGGGAAGGAGAGAGAGAGAGAGAGAGAGAGAGAGAGAGAGAGAGAGAGAGAGAGAGAGAGAGAGAGAGAGAGAGAGATGTCAGGGAAGGGAAGGGAAGGGGTGAGCTGTACAGGTAGTTATGTTGTGAAAGACGTTTTGACAATGGCATAAAATGGCAAAAAGAATCCTTACGCTGAGAGGCAGCCAACACACGCTAAAGGCCACAGTGATGAGACCCAGGAACCAAATCATCTGTGCTTCCATGTCTGAATGCTTCTTTTTCCGGATCACGTTGCCCTGTGCGCTGAGGGCGCCACTATTACTCCCAACGGACACCTTCCTGCCTGCAGATGGAGAACCTTCCAGACTCCTCCGTTTACGCACGCGCAGAAGAGTGATCACAACAGTAGTGTTACAGATGATCATGACAGTAGTAGAGATGATGTTCAACATGCTGAAGGAGCCCGCAAAAATGGCGTCGGTTGTGCTGTTGGAATGGAAACTCAGAAAGCACCAACTGCCGGGGAACTGGTGCTCGTAACTGCCGAAGTTGAGGAAGGGAAGGCTGGCGAAGAGTAAGGTGACCACCCAGCAGATGAGGAACGTCATCTGGGCTTTGAACCGGGACACTCGTCTGGCGTAGTAGTAGGAGAAGCGGATGGCGAGGAAACGCTCCAGGGACATGCAGCCCACGATTAGATGAGTCACAACACTGATGGAGATCATTATGAAGCCATGATAGATACACAAGGGCATTCCGCCCACCCATTGGAGGTTGTTCAGGTACATGACGATAGGGACAGGTCCAGTGGCTAGTTGGCCCAATAAGTCTGTCCACGCCAGGCCAGCCAGCATCACAAAGAACACTGTTCTTCTGGCGTGAGCCTGCTGAACAACAGAAAACAAGAATAAGATTAAAGGACTCATCGCACTTTTATAGCGTTCGTCTCATCTTGAAAAGACTGATCGCATATTTACAGGGCTTTTCGCTTATTAAAAGGACACGTTGCATCTTTAAGGGGGAGTTCCACCCGAGAAACTGGTCATTCGCTAAAAAAAAAAAATCATAATATTTTGCAATTCCCCATTGAACACCAAATAGTTGAAACATTACTGAAACAGAAAATAATTTTCAACAACATAAACAAATATGGAGGACGTAAAGTACCTAAAATTGATATATTTCGTACGAAGATCACAATATTAAATTTAATTATTAATGCACGTCTCTGCGGGCAAATTTTTTATGTTCAAATCAAAGCTATCATAGCAAATTTAAAATAAACGTATAAACCAAATTTGTTCACAGCGTGTCATAAATAATATTAATATAGATGTTTTGACGGGTAAACATTTTGGCAACATTGGCATATTTCTTTCATATGTAAAGATATTCAAAACCTCGTATAACATACTGCACCATTTGCTTTGACCCCCCCCCCCCCCAATCCCCTTTTAAAAAAATGTCTAAAGTTTGAAGGTAATCATCCTAGAAAAAAAAAGAAATTAGGCTGCGTGCAGAGAACAAAATCGTTAATTTGTGGAGAGGAAAAAAAGGACTGTATAAATTTAGGTATCAGATAACTCACCATGACTTTCGTGCGTCTGAGATAGATAGATCGGAAGATATATACTATACCTAAATCGACCGACAGATACGTAGATAAAGCTTATTTCCCCTCCAAAGACAAAAAAAAGTGCAGAAAAAACAATAACAGTAATGATACGACCACTAACAACAACAACAATATAACAACAGCAACAACAACAACAACAACAACAACAACAACAACAACAACAACAACAACAGCAACGACAGAAATATAAATACTCCAACAGCAAATACAGTAACAGTAGCAACAGCAAAAACAACAGTGGCATTATCAAAATTTATTTATAGAAGCACGCCAGCCATCTATGTCTAGGTGCTGTTTTAGCCTCTACAATGGCAACAACAGCAGCAGCAACAACAACAATAAATCGAAAATAACATAAAAACAGCAACAACTACGGTCATGCCCCCCCCACCCCATATAAAGCGCTGGCCGCTATCCCACTTACCTCTCTCTTGGAGGAATACAGGACAAGCAGGGCCAGTACGTTGCCAAGGACGCCAATCGACATCATGAGGATTGGGTAGCCCACACTGATGGACAGAGCCTTCTCAGCGGAAGACGAGTTGTTGGTGGCATTCCGAGAACAAGCGTCAATCTGGGTGCACGCGGACGTGTTGCCAATTTGGATCTCAGGACCATTGTTCGTTGATGTTGTCACTTTGTACCACATTGCAGAGTCCATTTGGAGTTCTTGGCTCGACGAAGAATTTGCTTTTGAGGTAGCCTGAAAGGAGACATAGTTTGTATGTGCTTTTGTCTGAGAGTAAAAGTATCCTAGTATGACGTGAATTGACAGGAAAGCGAACACGTATAAACAGGTTTTGTGTCAGATTCAGTTTGATCTGCGTTTTTCTGAGAAAAAAATACGCTTCCATCGTCAACACAGATTAACTTTATAATTAAGGCGGCGGACGGCTTCAAACAAGTCTGACAGGGCCGACTCGGGGCCGAGTTGGATACAGCATATAAGCAGAAAAACTGAGATGCTTACTAACCACATGGAAATCATACTCAAATCACAGACTAAAAACCTTCATTGCCGCTCTTTGCTCTTTACAAAACTTCACTACTAGGTGTGCTCAACATGGGCACGCAAATGAAGGGCAAAAATATACAGATCTCAATATTGTCGAGTACACGATGCCGCTTTCTCTCCCCACCCCTTATAAATTGTCTGAAAATTGAGCCGAATGGGGAACCAGAACTATGCCGTAATGGACGTTCTATGATGTTATGATACATGTGTTTGGGGAAAACTCAGATCAAATGCATAAGAAACACGTTCGGCAATGACAAAAATTGGAATACTGCCTTACAGTACATGTATATGGCCCATAAAATATGACACTAGATGTAAATGACTTTAATAACTAAAAAAAACCACTTTAAAAAACTTGATTTTACAAGCTTATGTTTCAATGGGATGATTCTTTTAAAAACTGCAACACCGAAGTAGACTTTTTTCTTTTTTTTTTAGATGTTTTGTTTTTTTGCTTGTTGGTTTTTCGGGCCTCTGTTACATAGATAGATAGACAGACAATATATTTTTCTATTTTCAGGAAATAAAAAATAAAAAATCGGGCTCCGTCATGGGGACTTATCTATCTTTTTGCATGTACTTGCCAACTTGAAACTCTGTAGCTGTCGTAGTTTTATGGGAAAAGTGACACATGTGTTTCCAAGTTGCCAAATTTATAATATAATAGATATTTTGCTAACAACCAAAATCAATTTAAAGAGGTCAAAATGTCAAATCAAGGACGTTATGACATACCTTTCTCTTTATTTAATTTTAAAGTTGAACATTTAGGTTGTGAAAAAAAATAGTGCCCTCGATCTCTCTCTCTCTCTCTCTCTCTCTCTCTCTCTCTTTCTCTCT